CTACTATTGTAAAATAGACACTTGAGTGGGATAGAAAGGAATGTTGGGAAACATGGTTAGAGAAAACGTGTAAGCCCACCTTCAGCTCAGCCTACAACTGATTGGAATACAAAGCCTTTACAGAGTATGGGACCTTAGGTGGAATCCTAAGTCCCATCCAGATCCCATGGACAAGGACTTAGCCATAGAGGGTTAGAGCTGAGAGTGAAGCATCCAGCTGATATGAAGTGAGGTTGATGCACAAGAACACCCAAACTTGCATACAAGTTTGCGGGAACTTATCCAGAGAAGCTGCGGTGCCAGAGAGGGAGGCAGAGATGGGGGCATGGAGAAAGGGAGCAGCTGAGGACCTTAGATTCATGGACTAAGAAGAGAAGGACTAAGAGCTGGTAGCCAGGAGCAGACTTGTAGAATGTGCCCTTTGCAGATATAAATTATTATATATGCCTGAGTGGGTTTTGTGTGTTTGTTTTTTAAAAAGCTAAAGTGGATAGAAAGAAATACTGTTAACTGATGGTACATGGAGGGGATTGTAATCACCATAATAAAACAAGGTGTATGATTTGTTGAATGTAAAACTGATGATCTGCCCTGTAAACTTTCACTCAATCCACAACAAAAACCTTACACTAAAAAAAACAAGAGAGGGAGAGATTGAAGATGAGAGTCTCAGCTCTCATGCTTGCTGATTCAGTCTCAGAAACAATTCTGTACTGTCCCACCAGGTCGATATGAGTCAGAATCAATTTGAAGTCAGTGGTGGTGGGTGGGAGTGATTATAGGAACTTTCAAATATTTACTGAGCAGCTCTTTAAGGTCACATTTAAGGAAAAGAAGCTCTTCTACTAATCAAACTGAATGTTTCATAAGAAGTGTGCTTTCTTACTGCTAAATCTGTATACTGAAACTATGTGGAAAACAGCAGTGATCTCCCAGAGTTGGGAAAGCTTGTCAGAATGGCTATGTGAATAAACACTCACCATCATCTACTTCTCACATGGCAACTGCAGACCATGCATTTCCTCAGACTAAACTGCCACACCCAATTCATTAATCAATTGCACAACCACAGTGAAATGACACCCTAATTTTAAGAATCATAGAACTTTGATCAATATTGATCAAACTTTGCTCCTGAAGTTATAAATATCAGTCTTTATCTATGGTGGCTTCAAACTGGTCAAAATGGAAAATAAGCTGTTTTGGATATATAACAGACACTCCATTGGGACTTTAAGTCAAGGTCAGAACATTGTGGAACGTTTATCTTGACTCAAATATGACTTTGAAACTACTTTGAAATTTCTGGCGCTGCAACATTTCAGCCCTCTTCCTACTGTTAAAACTGAAGATCATCATCACTCAAAATTAAATATACATCTATTTTGCATTTTATGAAAGGTTGAACTTCAGACTTTGTATTTTTTTAAATCTGTTGATAGCTAACAAGTATGAATAGATTCCCATAACAAGTTAAAAATTGGCACACTACTGAAAACATTGGATGCCTGCATGCTTGAGATTCCATGGACAAGGACATAGCCACAGAGGGCTAGAGTTGAGAGTGAAGCATCCAGCTGATATGAAGTGAGGGGAGAGGCACAAGAACATCCAAACTTGCAGATAGTACCCAATTGATCTAGCCTCAATGGCTTGATAATCAGAACTCACCTAGAGGACAATAAAAAAACCATAACCTTTGATAAAGGAAACTTGAGTTTAAGAGTGTAAGGTAGAAGATAAGAGCCCCCACTGAATAGTTTTCCTCATGTCTAGATGGGTCTGGTAAAAAGAGATGGCGATAAGATTCTTAAAATTCAAGTGAGTTAATTGTTATGACTAATTGAGACTGTCACAATTGTAAAGGTACAAGTTTTATAATAAAAAAGGGAGTAATAGTTAATCTTACATTCCAGGAAGAGGGCCCTAGGACCATCAAGGGCCAAGAGCACAAGCTGAATGCAGGACCCTATGCAGGGAAGCAGTGACACCAGAGATGGAGGCAGAGATGCAGACATGGAGAGAAGCAGATTCATGAAAAAAGAGGGACTAGCAGCCAGGAGACAGACTTGCAGAATGTGCCCTTTGGTGGTTTACATTATTATATATGCCTGAGTGTTTAAAGAAAAAAAAAAGCTAAAATTAAGAGAGGAATGCTGTTAACTGATGGTACATGGAGGGGGTTATAATTATTGCAATGAAACAAAGTATATTTTTTTGTGAACGTAAAACTGATGATCTGCTCTGTAAACTTTCAAATTACAACTTAAAAAAACAAAAACAGAATTCCGTCAAAGGCAATTTCCTTCCTCTCTCCCCACCCCCAAAAAATTAATGGCACCGCTGGAATTATACTAATAACTGTCAGAAAAAAATTCTCATGAGTAAGACACATGTAACAATCACATGCATTTTCCCTAATGCATGTGCAGCTAAAACAAACACATTTTATGGGTGTCTGTCTTAGGCTGGGTTCTCTGGAGAAGCAAAACCAGTAACGCTTATATATGTGTATCTATATATAGAGATTTGGAATCTTGATGTGGCACTGTGGGATAATGCACTGGACCAACAGGTTTGGACCACAAGGTTGGCAGGTCAAATTCATGGAAACCCTATACAGGGTCGCTATGAGACTCAAAGGCACTTAACAACAACAGATTTTTTTGAGGCTTCTCTCAAAGAAATGACTCAAGTGGTTGTAGAGGCTGTTAAGTCTTAAAGTCCATGTGCCAGAGACCAGGCTGGAGGCTTCTCCTGACTCAAGTATTAACACGGGCTGAGACTGACAAATCCACGATGGGCCGGCCGGTAAAATGGCTGGTCACTGGCTCATGTCCCAAGCAGCAGAGGTGAGATGACAGCTGGATGCAGGATCCAGGATGAGCCAGTGCAAAAGAGTTTTGCCAGGACATCCATAAACATTTGATGCAGGCCCCTTGCCCCCACCCTCACCTCAGGAGACTCCTTTTATATTGGATCAGGGTTGTGGCTAAATTAAGGGTATTGCATCCCACCCTAATCCCTTACATCAGGATCATCATTCTATAACTGCAGAACAGGTAACATAGCCCAGCCAAGTTGACACACCACCTGAAGAATCACAATGTTTGGGATAGGCCCTTATGAAAGCTATCTGTATTGGTGCATTTACATAAAAGGTAACAAAACTGAGTGAGGCCTCTGTCGAGGTACAGCCTACATTTAATTGAGGGAAGACTTACAACATCAAGACTTTCCTACACCAGTTTTATTTAAAACACAAATATTTCTCTTTCTGCAATGGCAAAAGGTTGAAATAATGTTGAACATGAATCATTGACTAATACAAGGGATTTAAATATGAAACAAAGTTATTTTTAAAAAACAAAAATCGAAAGAATAAAGGTTATATACAAAAGAGATTTGGAATCTGTGATTCCAAAAATGAAATGAGTAGAAAATCTGTTGTGAAACCAGACCATTCCACCCCTTCTTTGGAGGGCTATCATACAACATTCGGTCACTGAAGATGGATTGACAGAAAGGTGTCTATATATATGAATTTCAAGTCATTTTTGCTTGTGCAGAATCATCCAGATCTTCCCAAGACTGAATGAGCGGTCCTGTGGCTTTCTTCCTTTTCCATATTCCCAACAAGACTACAGGAAGTTCAACTCTTGATGAGCCGCTTACAACAGCAGTTCCTTAGGAGTCGCATGACAGGTGGGTCAGATTCTCTAAGAGAAAACAAAACTGGCCACCTCCAGCCAAACACCAAAATGGATAAGTCCTTTCTTTTTCCTTCTGGTTATGGACAGGATGTCTCCTTTCAAGACTGTTATCCCCATACTTGTTTCTTCACAAGTCTAAACCCTTGAGGTGATATGAAGGAGACCAACACCAAGAAAATACAATTCAATTCAAAAATGAAGAAAACTGTAGGACTGGAAGGTATACAATACACCTCCAGAGCATCTCAGTACCCTTGCTACAATACAGGCCAGTCAGTGTACTGCCTCGGTCCACAGATAAACACTGGCAGCTCAGTTATAGGGCTCCAAATAAATACTGGGCAGGAGGAGCTTGCTGAGAGTTAGAAATTAAAAAAAGTAATCAATTTTTGTCCCTTTGATAATTCAATCTCAATAGGAGGCAAATATTGAAGGGACAACTTTCATACTGAAAAAAAGAATTCCTCTAATCATATCATCTCTTGTAGAGAATCCAGGGAATCCTAGAAATCGAAAATTCGTTTCAGGGACCCCTGAGGCACTTTAAAGCCTTTTAAAAAATGACAGTAATAATAAATTAGCTATTGCTCTTCAGAGGCTTAGAGAGCAGCTGAAGTGGCAGAATCAGGCCCCAAGTTAGGCTCAGATTACCAGCTTCCTGAACTACTCCACCCTCTCTAAAGCTTAAGGTGAATCTAAATACATTTAAAAAGACATACATACAATTGAACACAGAGTGAATTTTTTTGTTTAGTGGTAGCATGAAGTTTGGTCCCTAATGGTAGCAGCTGTCTTCATCCTTTCAAATGCAGATATTAAGTACATTAAGACAATACACAACAGAAATACCACAACAAAGGAAACAGAATAAAACGAGAAGCCAAAACTGACAGACACCTCAAAGAGTCACTAGTTCTCTCTCACCCTTTCACTGGGATCCTCCTCTCAGTCTCTTAGTTTTTTTGGAGAGAAAGGTTTGAATCAGAGCTTTATCTCAAAGATGCGAAATCATGGCATCAAATAAACAAAATGAAATGAGTCACTTTAAAAATCTGACCCCAAGGAATCTGGGACACATACAGGTAATTCAGAGGTATACTTCTGATTTGGGGCAAATTCTAGACTAATGAAATGATCACCTCAGGTAAATGTTACAATAGATGAAACTAAGTCCAGTTTTTTTGGTGAAGTTTTTTTTTTTTTTTTTTTTTTTTAAAGTTCTTTTTTTGTTACTACCACTTCAGCTATCAATCATTTCTGATAACTCAAGCAGAAGATCATCTTCATCCTTCCCAGGATCCAGGTCGATCTCAGCTTCTAATTTGCCTCCTGAAATCTCCCAGATTAGTTTCTCAAAATCATCCTCCACAGAGAGTAGAGGCTTTCCTGATGAAGTGGAGCTGAGTCGGCGAGTTTTTACAGACACTTGGGATGAGGATGGACCGGACACTTCCGATGGCGATGGATCTGAAGAGGACTGAGTAGGAGATGGCACAAGACTGTAAGGGGGGGAAAAAAAGATCAGAAAACTGCCTGTGCAAAAAGTTGGCAGAACCTCCTAGTTTCAAAGACAAGAGTTAGAAAAGAATCATTTCTGATGAAACATTTTTGCTGAATTGTTCATAATGTAAAACAGAATTCAGCCAGGTAGTAGAAACATCTTTTCAACAAAATACAAAGAGCTGCACTAGTGGAGAACTGTTGTTAAGGGCAGTCAAGTGCCCATAGCAACCCTGTGTAGGGTTTCTGAGGAGCAGCTGGTGAGCTTGAACCGCCGACCTTGCAGTTCAAACAGCTTTGCAGTCTGGCACATTAACCCACATCGTCACACCAGGACGCTTTTAGCAACATTAAATTTCATCTTTTCTTGCAATCAATTTGAAGTTCATAAAATGTATTTAGATGTGGCTAACTTACAATGTTTAAAGTTAACTAGCAGCGCTGTTCTCTAGAGAGCATAAAAAATAACTGAGCTCTAAAGTTAGGTTAAAGAGGATTGTGTGGTGTTACCTGTCCCTTGGTTTTTCTGTCTCAGGCACAGTGACTGACTTGTCCTCAGCGAGGATTGGGACAATAGCCTACAAAAGCAAGAGGAAGAGTAATTGAATGGGTCAGTCAGGCTTTTTGTTTCAGCATATTCATTTTTTTTTTTGCCTTCTTAGATTCTTATTATCTTCTTTACATCACGGAAGTTTAGAATCAACAATCTAGAGATTGAGTATATAAATAAAGAAAATACCTTGCCACCCCAAAATTAGTTCAAAACATCCCACTCCATAAACGTGTAACTGTAAATGTAAAATAAAGAAGCAACTGAAACTACTAAAATGCTTAAGAAATGGCACCAACTGTTGTACATACAACAGCTAAGAGTGCTGATCTGCCCTGCTTCCCTCCCGTCCACAAGGAAGCATTGGGGAGTTCTTACCACAGCTGCTCTTTTGGCGGGGCATTCCTGCAGACCGCTGCTGGAGCTCAATGGCTTCACAGCTGCAATGACAGCAGGGTGGACCTCTACTGCCTTGCGTTTGGGGGCCAATTTGGGGGTTGAAACAACTTTAACCACAGATGGCTTCACATTCACTTTGGGTTTAGCTATGAAGGACAAAAAATATTTGATTCATAGCTAGAATAATTGTTTTATATGGAAAAAGATTCAGAAACAAATGCCAATAATTTCTTCAGTACTAGGATACCACAAAACACATACTCTCTCTACACACACATACACACACACAGTTGGAACATAATCCATAGGCAATCTGCACTACGACCTATAGCCAGAATATAGATTCACAGACCCATATGGCCTGCCCTCTTTCTTCTAGTCCCTATTATTTTTCATCTTCAGAACCAGAAGAAACGTACCCATAGAAAACTTAAAATTTTTTTTTTTTTTAGATTTAATTTTTAAACAGCAATTTTAATGTCTGAGAAACTGAATTCATCTTCCAGAGTTGCTGGCTGGGATCTGCTGGTTAGCTTCATCATTTGTGCCACCAGGGCACTATGACCAGTACATAAGGTAAATTAAATTCAACAATTTCCAGGGAGTTAATGAACTCTGGTAATGAACTGAAATCTTAAAGCAAGATAAACTATGACCACAACTCACCTTTACCCCTTTTTTCCAAGGGCTGTGTTGCACATTTCACATTCAATATTGAATCCCCGATCCCTGAGGTTTCCACCTCCAACTTCTGGGATGGCTTTGTGGGCAGCCGCTTTGTCGGGTGCCGAGTGATGCCTGAGACAGTACTGAGCACTGCTTTCTCGAGCACTTGGGTATTGCAAGAGGTGACATCTCCCTGAAGGAGTGTCAAAACGGATTTTTCCTTCTGCGGGGTTTCCCTCTCCTGCTGTTTCTGCACCTGCTTCTCCCTCATGGTCTCACATCTCTTGACTTGAATTTTAGTGGTGTCACCCCCTGTGGTCTCACCAGGAGCCTGTGGGTAGGTTTCAATGACAGCATTAGACAAAATTAGTACCTTTGTGGAAATGATCTCATTATTTAATAGAAACTGGGTGAACATCTAAGGCAAGTACAGTTTGACACACACAGAATCCAGGAGAAAAGATCTTTACTTGATGTTGAATAATCAATAGTATACAGCTAATTTGAAAGATGTGAACTAAAGATATATAAACCAATAAAAACTTAAGTTTGTATAAGCTAAAAATCATGACTTTAAGTAAAACGCTAATGAAATCTAAACAATCAAGATACTCATACTAAGATTTATACTTATAATCGTGTAAAAGAAAACCTAAATACTCAGAAATATTATGTTTGCTTCTCATGTGCCCATTAAAGAAAAAAAAGAGTTATCAATTATGTTTTAAACATGAATTAAGTATTAAAACATTCACATGCATACATACAGGAATTTTTTTTTAATTTCTGGAAAAATGGAAACATAAGATAATGGAATTTCTCCGCAAACTTTTTGAAGCCCCCAAGTATATAAACTGACTCGACGGCACTTAACAACACAACAACAAGTATATAAACAAGAAACTGAAAGGAAACTAATGAAAAAGATCAACAGTGCTTAAATCTGGTTTAGGGATTATGAAGGGTTTTTTTTTTTCATTTTCATAAAATGAAAATTCCCAAGCTTTTTAAGCACTATTACTCCAAAGACAGGAAATCCAGAAATAAAATTTAAAAAATTACCATTCAATTTTATAAGGGCAGAAAACAGTGAAACACATACAAGTAAACTCTCTTGGAAAACTGTAAGCATTGTTTTTGTTAAGTGCCACTGAGTTAAGTTCTGACTCATGGCAACCTTGCATAGGGTCTCCAAGGAGCAGCTAATGGGTTTGAATCACTGACCTTGTGTGGTTAGCAGTCCAGTGCTGATCCTACAATGCTACATATGCATAATGAATAATATTATCCTACAATGCTACATATGCATAATGAATTCTATTAATAACCTTAATAGAAATTTATTTCAAGCTGAAACTAAAAAGCACATTTGACCATTCCTCTAGCTCTTGCTTGCCTTAGGAAAAAAAATGTATCATGATCTTCAATAAACTTACCTCTTTAGCCTCTGCTCTAGTAACAGTACTCTGAGATGCAACTTCACTTCCTTCCTGAAGTCTCTTCTCCTCTTTTATACCTATGTTCATATTAAACACATCATTAATTAGTTCATGCAGGCTGCAACTTCATGATGGCTAAAGGTAAAAAAAGTTTCGTAATTCAAATAAGGATGGGATTTTTGTTGTTAAGTGCCATCAAGTCGGCTCTGGCTCACAGTGATCCTTTATTAGGTTTCCAAGGCCTGGTTGATGGGTTTGAAGTGCCAACCTTGTGGTTAGCAGTCCTGTGCTTACCCTACAGTGCCACACTAGGACTCAAAAGATGCAATAGGACAAATCAAATTGTCAATAGAACCAACCAGTCCTCTTAACGTCTCAAAATGTACACGAGGCTATCGCAGGTCTACAGCGCTCTAGCCTCTGGAATATGTATTTGGGAGGTGGTACTCTCTTCTTACCAGTTCTTTTGGTGATGCGCAGCAGCCGCCTTGTAGCTGGCGAGCATTCAGGCTGGGGCTGGGGCCTGGGGCTGCTCTCACGGCTCTGCTGCACTCTCAGTGCCTTCTCCAGTTTAATCTCCTCCAGCGTCTTGATGCGCACCTCCTGCATGGATTGTGTTTTAACTGCTGGCTCCTCTAAGAGTCCTTTACTGGCAGATATGGGTGGCAAAACCACTGGTATTTTCATTTCATTATCAGTCTTTAACTTGATACAAGTTACATCTTTTTTGTTTTTTTGCCTCTCAGCTTCCTGCTGCCGATGTTTCTTTTCAGCCAGGACCTCAGAGAAGGTTTTGATTCGGACACTGGAGGAGCTTCTCATTCCTGAAGTGGAATCATCAGCTTTTGAAGGTCCTTCTGTCTTGAGTTTTGTCTGCAATTCTCCACGTTTTTGACTGGCTCTTTCAAGAAGAATTTCGTCTAATGTCTTCACATGGATCTCACCAACTTTAGTAACTTTCTCTGTATTCATGGGGGAAAAATATGTCATTGGATGTCCAGCAGAGTGGCATTACTTAAGCAGGCAACGAAAACGATCAAGAGTACTAATTATCTTAGTTTCAATTTTAATTTTAGATCACTGCATGCTTCAGCTACTGTGACCCTCAAGAAAGCTCTTGGAAGGTAAATAATGCTGACCTACATTTCTAGTCTGAGGCTATCCTTGAGGCACCTGAAAATGATGTTACTAGTTTGAAAAACACATCATTTTTTTATCACTCAAGTCTTACCATAAAAAGCAGCAATAAATTTATTATTCCATTCACTCAGACATATATAAAGAGGCTTCAAAAGTTTATGGAAAATTTTTATTATCTTTTAATTCCACTTTTCCATGACTAAATCCATTTTTTTGCCCAAGATACTTTTACTATAGTGCCTGCTACATAAGGAAGCATTCAAATACTTGCATGATTTAAGTTTTTCACGAAAATTACAAATTCCTCTATTTCAAGATGGTAGACTGATCTCAAAATTATTAGTCTAGGAAAATTCAGCATGAATGGTTTCTCTGCCCTACCAAAAATTCTCTTATCAAAATAATAGAAATACATAAAAAATAAAACAAAGGCATAATAGTACTAGAAAACAAGACTTCACTGAAGAGCCTAAGTTTTAAGGAATTTCTCAAAGTAGGAAAAGTAGGAAACAAACATGTGAGTATTACAAAAAACCTGGAAGAAAAAACAGGTAGGACTGTAGTGTTGAAAGCTATTCTTTTCAAAAGAATCAAAAAAAAAAAAAAAAAGCCAAACTTGGGTCAACTAATCTGAAAGCAACAATGGGCTCTGGGATAACCAGTAAGGTAGACATTAAAGGACGGTCTGTGTATCAGTTGGGCCCGTCATGACCCTCTCCCGTGAACTGGCCCTTAAAAGGGGGTAGAGAGTGTATCTTAAGGATGAAGAGAAGAGCAGAACTCTACGTATTAACAAATGGAAAACAGAAAAAAGCCTTTTGCTGTGGCAATTGTTACTAACTTCCAGCTTGCTACTCACACGAGCTGCCATCATACAGCCTTCCCACTTGGGCAGTATCAGTCAGCTGCTCTAGTCAGGATAAGAGTTACTTGAGGAAAAAAATTGTACAACCACAGAAGAAACTTATGTCATGTACTTAAAACTACTGAAAAACGACGACATTAAAAATGAGCCAAAATTAACAGTGACATGATGACATAATGAAAAAAAAATTTTTTTTTAAAGAGTCATATAAAAAACCGCCAGATTTTCCACTACTAGCAATGTTGTTGTTAAGTGCCACTGAGTCTGTTCATAGTAACCCTGTCCTGTATAGCGTTTCTGAGGAGTGGCTGGTGAGTCTGAACCACTGGTCCTGAGGTTCAAAGTGACTTTATGGTCGATTGTTTATCCTAAAGTGCCACACCAGGGCTTCATTAACACTGTAATGAGCAAACATTTTGTTATCTCTAAGTACAATAAGGAAATTCAGTGAGTAAATTACTTTAAAAATGAAACCACAAAAACAAAGCACAAGCTCTAATCTAACTACAATAGGTAAATTAGGGGCAAAGCAGAAATTCTGATGGCAAGGACAAAACATCAGAATTTACTGACCTGTTGCCTCCTCGCTGTTTGGATCAGCAGACAGGCCTAATCGCTCCTTTAGAGATTTGGAAACTTGAACTGTAAAGATAAAAAAAAAAACAAAAAAACAACAATTTAAAGAACCAAAAGTTGAACATAGACTTTCTAAAGTTCAAATACCCTTGTCTAGTTCACACATTAGGCTATACTTTTCTCCTAAATGCGAATAGGTTTTTAAAAAAAATCTTTCATGGACTTAAAATTTTCTTCTCCATAGAATAGACCTATGTACATCATGGATTTCCTTGAGCACTTTGGAAAGCTAAACAAAACAAAACACAGCATCGTTCCTTACATCTGAAAGTAAAAATTACTAAATTCAGGGAAATAATTTTGTTACTGTACAGCTTCCTAAAATCTTGCAACCGAAGGTGTTAGTTATGAGAATCTTCTATTTGTTTGACAGGCATGGCAGGAGGTAGGGAGGAAGGGAATTATGCTGCAGAGAAAAAAGTTTCCTTGCTCAGAGAATACCCAGAAGCCTGCAAACAAGAACAATCCCTTGTTAGAGGGAAAAGTGGAAAGAAATGATCTACTTTTGTATCTTCAAGAAAAATTAAAATTAATCACAGGAAAAAAAAGAGTCTATTTTAAAATTAGCTCCAATGTTTAACTGCAAGTCACACAAGTAGAAAAAAAATCCAGTCCTTTACTCCTTTGTCTTCTTCCACTATAAATCATTCAACTCCTAAATACTTCCTGATTTAGTCTATTTACCTCTACTAGTCCACATCTCTTCTAGAACACTAAATCTATGCCACTAAGTCCACTTATCTGGATCATTTTCAGCTTCCTACCTCATAGCGTAGTGGTTACGAATCAGGCTGCGCACAGCCAAGGTCAGCAGTTTGAAACTACCAGCCGTTCCACGGGAGAAAAATGAGGTTTTCTGCTCCCATAAAGATTCACAGCCTCGGAAAACCTGCACAGGGTCGCTATGAGTCGGAACTGACTCCACAGCACATAACCACCACCACTACCACCTCATATCCTGGCCATTGGTCTTATAACCTTCTACTCTTTCTCAATACTGCAAGAATAGGATGATGATGACTAATGTGTAACTCTGAGCCTTTAATCCCAGCATCTAGCCTTCCAAAGGTTTGCTAGTTATGTCAGGATAAACCCAAACACTCTACCATAACTTAAATGGCTCCAGATGAGTCAGTCCCTCCTTCCCTCTCCAGTCACCATACTCCTTATCCCAATTCTCTGTGTCAACCTCGCTCAGCTCCTTGGCACATGTTACTGTCTCTGCCTGGAACACAGCCCCTGACCCATCAACATCACCTGACCAATTCCTAAATCCTGTTATAGGTCTACACTTCCACATCACTTCCTTGGAGAGCTTTTCCCTGGTAGACAGCCCTTCCTATGGTGCTTCCATAGCACCACATACTTCCATTGCATATCTCAGCCTAATATTTGTTAACGTATTTCTAGCTCCCTTTATACCATAAAACTTAGAAGTATGATGGTGTTTGTTTTGCTAATTGTTTATATCTAGAATCCAGTCGAACAAGTGCTCAAATGTTTGTTGAATGAATAATTAAACAGATACCAGAAATAATAATCCAATTTACCTAAGCAAAAGAATGAGAAACTATAGCTGCTAACAGTTTAAGAAGTAACATGATGTTATATACACACAAAACATTAGAACAGAGGTACCTTTCTTTGATGTTTTATCAGGGTTCGTTTCTGGAGTTTCAACCTTCTTTCCCAGTCTCTGTGCAAGGCTACGCTTTAATGGTGGATCATTGTCTCCACCTGCAAAACAGGACGAATGGAAGTTTTAAGAGTACAAATCTTCAGCAAGGTAAAGGAATACAAGCAAAAGGAGACACCATAATTCTATACACTTTCTATATTTATAGTGTGTGTGTGTGTGTGTGTGTGAATCAGCTTCCTTAGCATCAATATCAGACAAGGCATGAAAATGTACCAGAAGAAATAAGGGAAAGGACATAAGAATCAGACTTTATAGTTAGCAATCCAGGGCTTATAGTACAGCATCACAGTACCAACAAATGCAGGGAAGCAAATTATGTTTTAACTAGACACTTGTTCCCTCTAAAAAAATAAAAATTTCAATTGATCAAAAACAACAATAAAAAAAGCCAAGATATCCTTTACTGCTTTTAAAACCAAGTGTCTTCTAAAAAGTTGGCCATGCTCTAGGTAAATCACAACAATTTAAATTTCCATAACCTTAAAAGGGGTAATGTACTCATTCAAACATGAACCAGTTTTTAATAAGAAGTCCTTTCAGCCAAGAACACTTGGGGGGTTGGGGGGTAAGGGACAAGGCTGGGAGGGCAGGGGACTGGCAAATCAACACTGACTGTGGATTTAGGTCAAGAAGAGTTTGAAGGTATCATGCTCATGTATAAACAAGTAAAAAACAAAAAGGTATGCACAAAACTTATCTTACCAAATGAAAATTTTCGTTTGCCCAGTCTCTCAGTGAGACTCAATCTAACCAAGGGTTCATCTCCTAAAATGGAAAAAATAGCAGGTTGTCAACTGCCAATGTTTCTGTATTCAGTTAACTACTAATGGGTATAAAAAATGTTCTAGTATTAATTCCTGAGCCTGCCCAGAAAGTCTCTTCAAAGTCTTATCTCAGTCTTAAGGATTTTTTTTTTTTTTAAAAAGCAAGCTAATAAATTAATGTGAACAGTCAAATTAAAAGCCTACAAGGAAAAAACTGATGATCTGCTCTGTAACCCTTCACTCAACTCACAACAAAAAGTTAAAAAAAAAAAAAGCCTACAAGGAAGAGGCAATACAGTCCTTCTGAATAAGAGCAGCCAAGAAAGATGAGAGTTTGTGTTCTAACCAACAGGTTGTACCTTGGATTGTGTTCAATGAAATCCCATTCTGCTGTATCAGTAAACTACTGCTATACAGCTTTCTTTGACTATCTTTAGCAAGCAATAAGCTCTCTTTTCTGATTCTTTGCTGTCTGAATAACACAAACATTTAAATATCTCTGCATACTACATATGCAGAGTGTAGTGTGTTCCTGTTTCTTACTAGGTTTTAAATTACTGAAGGAACCAACATAAACCCCTAAGGATTGAGCAATCTCAGTTATAGAAAAGTTAACAGTCTGACAAATTCTACAACCTATCCACACCTCACCTTGTTTACTTGACAAAGTTACTGTCCTCACCACAGTTCGGACATTCTCTTTTTCGGGACCTGGAACTGGTTGGGGTTGGAGTAGAAGGTTGGAAACTCCTGAAGAACCTTCTGAATAAAGTCAAAGAATAGCAAATGATGAACAGAAAATCGCAACATTATCATAAGTCCAGGAATTCTGTCTTTCTGAGCATATTTGGGAGGGGAGAAAAATTCCTATTTCTCATGTTCCTGGGGCACGAAGTGAAAATAAACTATACAAACTGCTCTGAGTGACTCAGGCATTCAACCTACTTTTACTTACCAACAAGGCTAACATTTTAAAGTTAACCTCAAATGTATACTAGTCATCAGGTGTGTTAACTTAACCTTTTCCTTCTAAACCAAATCATCTAGAGAATATAACTACACACTTATTACAGAAAAAGCTTTAGTAAGAGGGACCTGAGAACCATTTGCTTCTTTGTAAATACTACATTTCACATCATAACTATAATTTTTAGTGCTGCCAATGCAGATTAATCAAGTCAAGGCAAGCTCTACAAGTCTTCCCTCTCTTAATGTAATTCTTACATGCTGTTCTTCGAGGCACATGAATGGCACAATGGTAGCTTTATAGGAGAAAGTCCTAAAGACCTGCTTTCATAAAGTTTACAGCCAAGAAAACGCTAGGGGAAGTTCTAATCTGTCATATGGGGTATCTGAGAAAAAATTATTCAACAGTACACAATGAAATTCTTTAATGTTCTATTTCTCAATATAAACAGGTTATTTACTACATACACCTAGTTCTGAATAATTAAGGACTGGAAGACAGCTGCAAAGAAAAACAAAAAGCAACTGTGATATGAAGGAAGTCTCTGTTTTTCTTAAGAACAAACTATAAACGTAAACATCTATTTGCTCATTTTGGCTGTTTCTTCTAGATGTATTATTCTTCTTCCCTGGCAACATGCAACCATTTGAGTCAGAACTCATAAGAACTTACCACCTTGCTTCTTGGATTTTTCCTTCATTTTCTTTGATTTGATTTCTTCAAGAGTTTTTATTCCAAAATTCAAACATTCACCTGAGAAGACCAAATAGGAATCACATGAGAAACTAATACATTTGATCTATAGATAGCAGGCATTGAAATGTTTTCTAATGAATAAGAGGACCTACCCATGTGAAGGTGGGGGGTGAGAGGGGAGGGAAGAGGGAATGTCGATGAAGAAAATTCCATTTGTGACCCTTCGTAAGTGGGCCTCTTCTTACCTTGCTTTACACTGAGTCCAGGTTTCCGGACAGAAGCCACTCGCAGTCCATTATGAATTTCAGGAGGTACTTGCAGGTTAGGTGCTTTGGTTTCATCACCTTCCTCAGAGAACTGATCTAAACATCAATAGTTAAAATAAATTTGGAATGAAAAACAGGCCTAGAACTTTAATGCAAATTCTTTTCAATTCACTAAGTGATCTGGCTATTTATTTGCCATAAAGAAAGAGCTAAGTCTTACCATCATCATCTTCATCGTCATCTGCAGCATTGATTACAACTGGTGGATGTGTGGGGCTGGGAACGTTTTCTGAACTTTCAACTTTCATAACACTCCGAAGCTGTGGGGAAGGGTTAGACTGGACAGACAATTTGTTCTGTTGAACTGTGAGCTGGTTAGCCTTCACTTCCTCTTCTGGTGCCTCAGGTACAGTGGGCAACACAGCTAAACACATAAATTCAATACTTAGTTAGAACCAGAGGACACAATACCAATCCATTCAAAACTCCTGTCCACCTAGGATAAGTTTGGTTTATTTTCCTCAGAAACATTTACGTCTTTTTACCCAATTTTACCAATTAGATTCTAAACTCCCAGAAGGGGAAAATAGGCCTTAGCTATGAACTAGTCACTGTACATAGTAACTATTCACACTTAAAATGGGTATTCAAAACACTGCTGATAAAATGAATAAGAGGCTAAATGCACCAAAAAAGCCCTTCTCACCCACACAAAGCAAAACTCTAAAATTACTGCTGTTGAGTCAATTCTGACTCATAGTAATCCTATAGGACAGAAAAGAACTGCTCTGTAGGGTTTCCAAGTCTGTACTCTTCACTGAAACAGACTGCCATATGTGTCTCGCACAGAGTGGCTAGTGGGTTTGAATCTATCACTTAACAGGTAAGCACTGCACTATGCAATCAGGGCTCCTTGCTACATGAAACCTCCCCCGCCCCCCCGCAAAAAAAACACACAACAGAAACCAAAAAATACCCCACTGCCACTGAGTTGAGTCCCATTACAGCAACCCTATAGGTCAGAGTAGAACTGCTCCGTAGGGTTTCTAAGAATGCAAATCTTTAGTGGGCAGACAGTGTCATCTTTTCTCTGGCGCAGAGGCTGGGGAGTTTGAATGGCTGACCTTGCAGCTAGCAGCACAACACATAACCCACACACCACATTAAATGATTAAGTAACCGTAAGTTTTATGATTATTTTAATTATAGGACTTTTACTCAGCAAATAGCTTTAAGATAACTGAAAACACTTATTTGAACCTAATCATAAAGAGCCTACTTTTCCCCCTAAAGAGGTGAAAAAGATGTAACCCCAAATATAATAGCAGCTTCTTTGCCTTTCTTCTGCAGATCGCTCTTTTAGAAACCTGGACACAATATACAGCGTATACAACGGACATAGCTTAATGCTGTAGAATCAGGTCACCCCTTGTTGCATTCACACTTATTTGCAGTTTGCATTTCCCCAAAAATATTAGTTTGTAGTGTGTAAGTTTTATTTTAGATTACAGCCTAGAGCAGGGCTGGCAAACCTTTTCTGTAAATAGTAAATATTTTTGGTTTTGCTGTCCATATCATATACAAGGGGCTTAAAAAATCTATGAAAAAACAATGGAATTTCCCTATGAACTTCTTGAAGGTCCCTTGTGAGGGAGCATGGCTTTTGCAATATAAACGTTTAACTTTGGCTCTGCCATACACAGTGGTTTTCTGGCTGTGTGCAAGCCATTTAACCTTAATAAAATTCAGTTTTCTCATCTGGGAAGAGGAAATAATAGACTCAACTACACCAAAAGGAGGCAAAATACTCTGTACAGTGGGCACAGTGCTTGTTAGGCAGTAACTACTCTTTAAAAATGACAAATGTCTCTCACTTTTGCTGGGCGGCAGGAAGAGGCCATCAACATAGCGTCCTCTGTTGTGATGGAACGCACAGTTTAGCTTCTGACATCCCATTGGCTGATTTTCCCAATAACAAGGAATCTCACTACGCTTTTTCTGTAGAAAAGAAAAATACATTTTTTCAATAAGAAATTAAATGATTTGAAGAAAGAAAAAGAGAGGTTGCTGAACTTGAGGCACTTGAAGCACAATGAGGACATGAGGGGAGCAGTAGTTTCCTTCCTATTCTCTCATCTTTATCCTTGTTGTCAAGTGCTGTCGAGTCTACGCTGACCAATAGCGACCCTGTATAGGGTTTCCAAGGAGCAGCTGGTTGAACCACCAACTTTGTAGTTCAAACAACTTTGCAGTCTGACGCATTAGCCCATAGCCCCATACCAGGACTCCCATCTTTATCCTATAGCCCCCCTAAATATCGACCCTCAGCAAGAAGCAGGATGATTCAGTAGTTCAAAGTAGGCAAAAAAGGAAAGCAACAGGGTTTTTGAAACTCTTACTGTGCTATTTAATGGCCACGTGACCTTGGACAAATAATTTAATGCCTTAAGTCTCACTTTCCTCAGCTATAAAATGGGAACAAGAATAGGTGTCTAACTGGTTTATTTCACTTTCAACAAGTGAACTTGCTTGCTTAAAGAGAAGAGGACTTAAAACTATTTACTGATGAAGATCAAAGAGCACAGCCTTCCGTATGGATTTCATCTCAATGTAAAGAAAACAAAAATCCTCACCACTGGACCAATAAACAGCATTCTTATCAATGGAGAAGACACTGAAGTTGTCAAGGACTTCATTCTTCTTGAATCAACTATCAACACTCATGGAAGCAGCAGTCAAAATATCAAACGACATATTGCATTAGGCAAATCTGCTGCACAAGACCTTTTTAAAGTGTTGAAGAGCAAAGATGGCAGCTCGAGGACTAAGGTGCGCCTGACCCAAGCCATGGTATTTTCAATAACCTCATATGGATGCGAAAGCTGGACAGTGAATAAGGAAGACCGTAGAATAATTGAAGCCTTTGAGTTATGGTGTTGGAGGAGAATATTGAAAGTGCCATGGGCTGCCAAAAAACTCCAACTGATCTGTGTTAGAAGAAGTGCAGCCAGAGTGCCCCTTGAAGGCCAAGATGGCCAAACTTCGTCTCTCCTACTTCAGACATACTGTCAGGAGGGACCAGTCGCTGGAGAAGGATATCATGTTTGGTAAGGTGGGGGGGTCAGAGAAAAAGAGTAAGACTCCCAGTGAGATGGATTGGCTAAGTGGCAGCATCAACGGTCTCAAGCATGGCAACAATTGTGAGGTTGGCCCAGGATTGGGCAGTGTTTTGTTCTGTTGTGCATAAGGTCACTATGAGTTGGCATTGACTCAATGGCACCTGACAACAACAACAACTGGTTTATGATGCACAGGAAGCATGCAGGAAACAGAAAAGACTCAACAAACTACAGCTATTACCTGAAGCTCAGAGTTCAAGTCCTGAAGCAAAGTATCCCCACTAGTGACTCTTCAAAGGTTTCTCTACTCTTATAAAATGCTTGCACATCTAGGAGTAAGCTGCCGGGTCACACATACATTCTTCTCAAAATAAGCCATATTAAAAATGTTCAAAGCAGTACTATTTGGAATAGCTCCAAAATGCAAGCAAATCCAAATGTGCATCAGCACTAGATGGGATATAGTACATCCACAGAATGTTAACCAGTCACAAGCCACTGCTACATTTATTACCACAGATATCCAGTGCATGACGTTAGCCACAAAAGAACACAGATTGTATGCTCCCATTTTTACAGAGACCCAAACAGTCAAACCTTCTCTATGGCAGTCAGGACACCTCTGGGGGGTGTTTCTTGATCTTGGTGCTGGTAAAATAAGTATACTCTGGTAGCATAGTGGTTACAAGTCAGGCTGCTAACCTGGTCAGCAGTTTAAAACTACCAGCAGTTCCATGGGAGAAAGATCTGCTCCCATAAAGATTTATAGCCTTGGATCCATGGCACACAACCACTACCACTTAAAGAAAATTCTATCAGCTGTTGTAATTATGATTTCTGTACTTTTCTATATTTATACTCAAATAAACCAAGAAAGCAAAGACTATAATAAGCACTTCTGAAGAAATTATCCTCTGATTAATAACCTACATTATGTTGGCTCTCTTACCACAATAAGCAGCTTATATAAGGCTTAATGGAGTCCTGGTGTGGTACTGTGGGTTTATGAGTTTAAGCAGCCTATATAAGGCTTAATGGAGTCCTGGTGTGGCACTGTGGGTTCATGAGTTGGACTGCAAAGCTGGTTTGAACCACAAGGTTGGTGGTCCAAGCTCACCAGCCATTCCTCAGAAATCCTATACAGGGTCGCTATGGGTCGGAACTGACTTGGCGGCACTTAACAACAACATTAAGGTTTAATTTTATTACAGAAAAAAACAGCAATATTAAGAAATCCAAAATATAGAAGAGAAATAGAGAAATGATAGGCAATACAAAAAGAACATGAAAAGCATCAAAAAGGACAAAAATCAACACCTAGCACACAGAAAGAATGAAATATTCACTAATACACACTGTTAGTGAGGGTGTGGAAAAATAGAGCATTCCTAATGGAAATGGAACATTTCAACATTTTTGAAAGGCAATTTGGAAGAAACTTAAAAATGTTACCATTTTTGCCCCATCCATGATTACCTATTTTTAAGTACTTCAAGTCCCAATGTTTTCTGAGTTAAGAATACTAACAATGTCTCAATTACTTCTTCCTCAAGGCAGAATCTAATGCCAATTTTCCTTGCTCCTGCATCTGGGTCAGTCTTTGCTTAAGTTTTTTTCTTTCCTGGAAGTAATTGTTAAATTACAGTATGTCTTCAGTAATAATGTTGTTGCTGTTAAGTGCCATTGAGTCAATTCTGACGCATTGTGACCCTGTATAGGGTTTCTGAGGCTGTTAATCTTTGTGGGAGCAAAAAGTCTCATCTTTCTCCCACAGAGTGGCTGGCGTGTTTGAACTGTGGACCTTGTGGATTGATAATCTAGTGCTTTATTGTACGGATTTACCGTGCTCCTTCAATAATAACAATACCCTCTTATAAACTGGAGGCACCCGACATTTATTGGATCTGTTTAATACATTTATTAGATTTTGTTTCTACTTGAAAAGTAATACAAACATAAAGAATTCTTAGAAAATAAAAATGCCTATTATACTATTGCTCAAAGAGAACCAGTTGTTTTGGTATGTTGTTGGTTAAGTGCTGTTGAGTCAGCAGTAAGCAGTCCAGTGATTATCCTACAGCACCACACCAGGATCCTATCTTGGCCAAAGTATTCTATATGAAAATATAGAATCAATAAAAAAATTCTGTTTTGGTATGTTGTTAAGTGCTGTCAAGTTGGTTCTGTCCCATAGCAACCCTGTATAGGGTTTCTGAGGAGCAGCTGGTGAGCTTGAACTGCCGACCTAGCAGTTCAAACAGCTTTGCAGTCTGGCACATTAACCCACAGCATCACACCAGGACTCTATAGTTTGGTATAGAATACTTTTATTTATTATTAGCCAATAAATATACAAGCACTCTGGAATTCTAAATAATTCTATAGAGTTTTGATTTAGCAACATATCCTCCATAGTAGCATCCTCCATCTATATGACTTCTTTAAGTTTTTAATAATACTACACATTTCAAAGACATATATAACAAAGACACACAATAAAAAACTCCTTTGTATCCCTGGTCCCACCTCCAAAGTCACTGTTATTAAGGTTTCCTTTACAGTTGAATGCCATTAAAATAAATATAGCAAAAATTCATTTTAACTGAAGGACAGTTAGGGTACTTCCAGTATTTTACTATTAAAAAATATGCTACAATGAGTACTTCTTCACCCTGCACATGTATGAGACGATTATGGGACAAGATAGAAACATTTTGAAAGCTATAGTGAAATTAAGCCCCTATACAGAAAAAAGTTAACATGGCAGCCCTGAGACTTCTATTCTTAGAAAGCCTGCCTGCCAGAGTGGCTCTGGCTGGCATCTGAGAACTTCAATCTGGGAATGCTCTCAACAGTTATCTGATAAAGAGGTCCACTGTGCCTACCTGTTTTCTCGCAGGAGTCTGGAAGTTTGCTAAACAGAGAGTGTCTACGTCATCAGCCTAATAAAATCCTTAGGCACCTTGGATGGAAATATCACACATGCGATGCTGCATTTTTGTTGCCAAGGGAAGATGGTACTGTTTGTGACCCCTCATGGGAGACAAAGAGCATGAGGAAGCCCATACATACATTCTTCCAAACGCCGCTTGTGTCCGTCTCTTATGATCCAGCAATGTATCCTTCCTGTGATAAATCTTAACGGGAACAAAACTATATGCTGTGCCTCATGAGTTCTTGCAAATTACTAAATGTAGAGGCAGACTTGAGACCCTAGCACATTTTCCAAAGGAGTTGTGACAATTTACACTTCTATTTAACAACAACAACAACAACAACAGTTTTACTGCATGATATATTTGTAAGTTGCATAGTACTTCTTCCTCTGAGTTTATTTAATGAACTTCTTACTATGTGGAGGGCAGGCAGCATACATTCGTTATTGTATGCTGTGGGAGTTGCTTCCAACTCTCAGCAACCCTGTGTAGGGTTTCTGATGAGTGGTTGCTGAGTTTGAACTGTGACCTTGCATTTAGCAGTCCAGTGCTTCTATATCACCACTCTAGGACTCCTGAATATAGTTAAGAGGACAGAAATCTGGAACCAGATTGTGTGACTCCTGGCATACACTTACATCTATCTCCATGTGCCGAAACCTGCACACCTGTCGAAAACATCGTCCTTCTTGCCATAATGTGCAAACAGTTTCATTTCCTAGTGCAGCTTCACAGTGACGGAACGGGCAGCTGTCACCCTGTAAACAAAGAAGGAAGAACACAGTAAGAAACCATGGCCTCAAAATGTCCGCAATGTAAAATGTCTAGAATAAAAGCTTCCTGGAATACAGATAAGTACAAGGACTACGGAAAGATAGACAAGGTGAAAAAATAACAGAATAATACAAGGGCAAAAAATTTTAATTCCCTATAATTTTTTTTTAAAGTTTTTATTGTGAATTGAGTAAAAGTTTACAGGGCAGATTATCAGTTTTATACTCAACAAATCATTTACTTTGTTTCATTACAACAATTATAACCCCCTCCAGGTACCATCAGTTAATAGTATTTCTCCCTATTCATTTTAACTTTTTTTTAAAAAACACTCAGGCATGTATAATAATTTACACCACCAAAGAGCACATTCTGCAAGTCTGCCTCCTGGCTGCCACCTTTCAGTCCCGTTCTTTCTATGAAACTAGAATCCTCAGCTGCTCCCTCTCTCCTTGTCTCCATCTCTGGTGTTGCTGCTTCTTTGGACAGGGTCCCGCATTCTGCGTGTGCTCTTCTCCCTCGATGGTTCTAGGGTCCTCTGTTTCTGGATTGTAAGATTAACTACCCCACCGTTTTTGTTATGAAATTTTTACCTTACAATTGTGACAGGCACAATTAGCCATGATAACAATTACTCACTACTCAATCAAAAGAATCTTATCCCTATCTCTTTTTACCAGACCTATCTAGACAAGATAAAACTATTTAGTGGGGACTCTATCTTCCCTCACTACTCTTAAATTCAACTCCCTTCGTACCTTTATTGCTCCCTCATTTTAGGCTGCCAATGTCTAAGTTGCCCGTCCATATCTACTCTGTATACAGAGTGAAGACTCCTTCCCTCTCTGTTGGTAGAGTTACTACTTCCATGAGCATAAAATTCATCAAATTGTAGCAACTTACCCTTATTTCCTTTATCAAAAATTGTGGGGGTTTTTGTTTTTTTTTTTAATCTTCCTTTAGTCGAGTTCAGATTATCAAGTAATCGAGGCTAGGTCAAATTGGTACTGTCTGCAGGTTTGGGCGTTCCTGTGTGTCTCCCCTCACATCAGCTGGATACTTCATTCTCAGCTCTAGCCCTCTGTGGCTATGTCCTTGGCCATGGGCTCAGGTGTCCCCAGCTCTCATTCCACTCTGGACCAACCAGTCCTTCTTCTTCTCTTTATCATCTCCAGGTCAACGGGCGTCTATGGAGCATGGTTGAACTCAGCCCATTTCTTCATTGCTGCCTTTGCACTCGCCAATAGACCGATACAGTCGCCAGCAAGCTTACATGCCTACTCATATGTTCCCTTTTAGTTTCAGTCTTAGAAGAGGGTTATAATCTATTTCTTCTTTTTTTTTTTCTTAAATGTTTTATTGTGAATTATGTGATAGTTTACATGGGAGAACATTAATTTTACATTCATTCTGTCGTATATCATCTCATTGCCATGGTTACAATCCCCTCCATGCATCATCAACCAAACAAAGGGTATACCCTGCAATCCTGCCCCCCGTACTCCCCAGGTCTTCAGCACACAGTCGCTCTCCCTCTCTGGATCTAAAGATAATCTATTTCTTGACAGTATCCTTCATCTGATTTGAAAGCATGGGTGACACGCATTCAGATGAAGGGGGAGAAACAGGAAGGGAGACAAGTGGGAGAAATAGGTATTTTTAAATAAAGTCTACAGTTAATCTTCAAAAAGAGTTTCAAATACCTTAATTTCTGTAGCTCTAGCTTGTGATAAAAAAATCAAAAGTAAAGAAACAGACTAAGATTTAAGTATAATAATATGCTTTACCGGAATGGCGCTGTGGGTTATTATGCTGGACTGCAAAGTTGGTTTGAACTACAAGGTCGGCACAGTTCAAGCTCACCAGCTGCTCCTTGGAAACCCTATGCAGGGTCACTGTGAGTCAGAACTGACTCAATGGCACTTAACAACAATAACATATGCTTTACAACGTATTTTGTATAATGGACAATCTACTGTCTTTAAAACAAAACATTTGTACAGCATATATGTATTTATAGAATCGGTCACAATGGAACAGAAAAAAAGCAGTTAAGAGGGAACTTCAAAAATTCTATTAAAAATAATGAAATTTTTGCATTTGACAAAATGTAAACATCCATTCCTGATTAAAAAACTCAACAAAGTAGGAATTGAAGGGAAATTCCTCAACATAATTAAGAGCATATATAGACATCCAACAGCCATCTTTAAAATGGAGAGAAACTGAAAGCATTCCCTTTGCAAACAGGAACCATACAAGGATGACCTTTATCACCTCTCCTATTCAATAATCTGTTGGAAGTCAGCCAGAGTTATTAGGCAAGATAAAGCAAGTAAAGGCATCCAAATAGGCAATGAAAAAGTAAAACTCTATTTTCAGATGATATAATCCTATACATAGAAAATCCCAAAGACTCAGTAAGAAAATTATTAGAACTCACTGAAAGCTTCAGCAAAGCTCATCATACAAAAATCAATTGGATTCCTCTATACTAACAGACAGCACTGAAACAGAAATTAGGGAAAACAGCATCATTTATAATAGCCACCCAAAAGATGCAACACTTCAGGAATAAATCTAAAATGTTATACAAAAAAAAACCACTGAACACTACTATAAGAAACCAAAAGACGGAGAATATACCATGCTCATAGGTAGAAAGTCTTAGTACTGTGAACAATGTCAATACTACCCAAAGCAATCTAGAGTTACATAGTGCAATCCTAATCCAGATTCCAATATCATTTTTAAAAAAGATGGAAAAAAATGATCACGAACTTTATGTGGGAGGAAACTAATTTCAGATAAACAAAGCACTGCTTAAGAAGAACAACAAAATCAGAGGCCTCTCACTCCCTAATCTCAAAATTTACTAACTTGGCTTCAGTGGTCAAAACAGCTTGGTAGTGGTACAATGAAAGATATAGATCAATGGAACAGAATTGAGAACCCAGAAGTAAATTCATCCACATAAAGTCAACTTATCTTTGACAAAGGGTCAAAACACATTAAGTGGGGAAAAGCTAGAGTCTCTTTAACAAAAGGTGTTGGCAAAACAGGATATTCATTTGCAGAAGAATTAAAACAAGACCCATCTCTCACACCATATAAAAAAAACAAACTCAACATGGATTAAAGAACTAAGTTTAAAACCTAGAACTATAAAGATACTCAATGAAAACATAGGGACAAACTAAGGGGCTAATACATGGCACACACACACACACTACCAAACATTATAAAAAACACACAAACAGTAGAAGACATAATAGATGACTGGGACTAAAAATAAGAAACTTATATGCATCAAAAGATTTTGCTAAAAGAGTAAAAAGGGAGCCCACACACTGGGAAAAAACTTTTTTTTAACAATGGCATTATCAGAAAAGGGATTAATATCTAAAATTTATTTAAAAAACTATAACTCTACAGGAAAAAGACAATCCAATTAAAAAATGGCCACAGGACATGAACAGACACTTCACCAAGGAAGACCGAGGGCCAGGCAGCTAACAGACATATGAAGAATTATTCACAATCATCAGTCATTAGAGATGTAAATCAAAACATCGAGGTATCTCACACCAGCATTAATAGTGAAGTTCAAAAGAACAGAAAGCAACAAATGCTGGCAAGGGTTTGGAAAGTCTGGGACCCTCCCACATTGCTGGTGGGATTGTAAAATGGTTCAACCACTCTGAAAAATTAAATGATGCTTCCTTAGAAAGTTGGAAACAGAAATACCTTATGAACCAGCTACTCCTCTACTTGGCATATTTCCACAAGAAATATGAGCCAGGACACAAATTGATACATGCACTCCTATGCTCCTGGTGTGGCATGGTAGGTTACTGCACCAGACTGCAAAGCCATTTTAACTACAAGATCAGTGGTTCAAGCTCAGCAGCTGCTCCTCAGAAACCCTATACAGGGTTGCTATGGGTTGGAACCAACTCAATGGCACTTAACAACAAGAAGTTCATCACAGTATTATTCACAATTTAAAAAAGGTAGAGACAGTTCCCATTTGACCTAGCCTCGATGGCTTGATGATCACAACTCAACTAAAGAAAAGATTAAAAAAAAAAAAAAATTTTTTTTTGGATAAAGGAAATGAGGGTAAACTGCTACAATTTGATGAACTTGACCTATACTCATGGAGGAGTAGCTGAAAATACCAACAGAGAGGGAAGGAGTCTTCACATCAAGTATCAATGCTATCCCTATTCTGCAGACACAAGAGATAGGAAGCGGCAACTTACACATTGGCTACATACAATGAGGAGGCGATAAAGGCACAAAGTAACTGGCTTACAAGGTTTCAAGAGGGAGCTGAGTTTAGAAGTGTGTGAGGGAAGACAGAGTCCTCACTGAATAGTTTTCATCTTGTCTAGATGGGTCTGGTAAAAAGAGATGGGGATAAGATTCTTATGATTCAATAGTGAGTAATTATTATCATGACTAACTGTGACTCTCACAATTGTAAAGGTAGAAGTTTTGTAACAAAAATGGGAGCGTAGTTAATCTTACAGTCTAGAAACAGAGGAACCTAGGACCATCAAGGGAGAAGAGCATAAGTGGAATGTGAGACCCTAGCCAGAGAAGCACCGACACCAGAGATGGAGGCAGAGATGCAGACATGGAGACAGGAAGCAGGTGAGGACTCTAGACTCATGGAAAGAGATGGACTGAGAGCTGGCGGCCAGGAGGCACACTTGCAGAATGTGCCCTTTGGTGGTGTAAATAATTATATATGCCTGAGTGTTTAAAAAAAAAAAAAACAACAGACAAAATTAAGAGAGAGAAATACTTTTAACTGATGGTACATGGAGGGGATTATAATCGTTGTAATGAAACAAAGTATATGATTTGTTGAATGTAAAGCTGATAATCTGCCCTGTAAACTCCCACTCAATTCACAATATAAACATTAAAAAACAAAAACAAACAAACAAAAAAAAATTGAGACAGCTTAAATGCCCTTCAATGGAAGAATGAATAAACAAACTTTGGTAAATACACACAATAGATACTATGCAACGCTGAAGAATAACGATGAATCTGCAAAACACCTCATAACATGGATGAACCTGGTAGACATTATGTTGAGTGAATAGCGAAAAACAAATGGACAAATACTATGAGACCAACATTGTAAAAACTTAAGAAAAGGTTTTGATACTAAAAGAAACGTTCTTTGATGATTACTAGGAACGGGAGGGAAGGGAGAGTAATTCACTGGCTAGAGGTTAAACACATATTAGGTCCTGTGATGGGGAGGGCAATAAACAAGAAGAGGGATAGAGGCAGAAGAATGATGACAATAAGCGAAGACACAGGGAGGTATCCAATGGCAAAAGAAACAGAGGAAAATAGTGATATATATGTTGTAGTTGTTATGTGCTGTGGAGTCGGTTCCTGTACAGCGACCCTGTACAGGGTTTCCGAGGCTGTAAATCTTTACGGGAGCAGAAAGCCTCATCTTTCTACCGCAGAACAGCTGGTAGTTTCGAACTGCTAACCTTGCGGTTCACAGCCTGATTCATAACCACTACGCTACCAGAGCTCCTTATAGTGATATATACACCACCTTGGAAAACAGTGTTCAGTGCAAAGACACAAGGATTGTGACAAAGACTGAATGAGTAAAGAAGAAAAAGTGGGATATATAGATATATTTATATATCCCATCACCATACCTTTCCAGCAGACATAACTCTGAATGTGGTGGAGCATACAGCGGGCAAAATGATGAACACTTTCTAGATATTATCAAACATCTTAAGGCCATGAGTTACTGGGTCTGGGGGCTCAGGACCACAGTCTCAGGGAACACCATGGCCAGCTGGCATAATATAGTCCACAAAGACAATGTTCTACATCCTGCTTGGGTGACTAGCGTCGGGGATCTTGAAAACTCATGAGTGGCAGCCAGTCTAAGTTGCAGATATTGGTCTTATTGGCCTCTCCATGTGCAGAAGAAGAGTGAGTGATCAGAATTGAAGAATCAATTAGTCCAATGGAATAAGGAAACATGCAAAAATCAGTCTCCATGACTCTGAGACCGAGAAGAACTACGTGGTACCCTGTCTACCACTACCAAATGCTCTGAAAAGAAGCACATTAGGGGATCCTGGATAGAGTGGGAGAAAATGTGGAGCAAAACTCAAAATTATTTAATAATAAACAGATGGGGTTGATTAGTCAGAAAGAGATAGGAGAACCCTGAGACTATAGCTCCTGATCACCCTTAAGGTCTTGAAAAGAACTCACCTTTGTGGCCCAAGTTTCAGCCAAGCAGTAGACAGGATTAGAGGGGTGGACAACAATACTAGCGAGCGGTGCTCACCATGGAATGGGCAATTACTCAAAATCAAAAGGGCAACATTTTCCAAAGGACAAAGTTGAAAAGGAATAGGAAGGTAGGTGGAATACAAATAGGAACTGCAGGGAGTAAGTGGGGTAACTGTTGTTGAATGCAGGGGACTGCAATCACTGGGATGAAACAAAGTGTAAAGATTTGCTGAATATAAAGCTGGCGATCTTGTCTGCAAAACTTCAAGTCACAATAAAAAGTTAAAAAAAAAACACAATGGAATTTCCCCAAGAAGTTCAAGAAGCTCCCCTCATATATCTAACCAGAAAAACAAAAAGTTTTGACAAAAATAAAGCAAAGAAACCACAAAAGCATATTTAGAAAGATGGCTTCCTTATAATGAATAGATTAATAGATAGCAGGAAATTGGGGGAAGAATTAAGTCAAATTCAATCCAAGATATTTTATAGACCTATAATCCAACCCATTTATTCATTTACTGCAAAGTAAACAAAATAAAAGTTAGCAAGCGAACGAAAGGCCATAGTGTACTCAATTCCCCAGTCACTTTGAGCAGATGACAGCTCAGAGATGTGCCACGGTCCTTTTCACTTTTAGCCAACATGGGAAAATTAAGTTATATGTAAACTAAAGATCAAAGATTAATACTGAGACAACAAAATTATCAAGTTACACTATTCTTTGCTAAAAATCAATAGCAGATAATCAACAGTTAAGCTAAACAAAACTTAAAATTAATTTAGAATGTTAGGATCATCTTATCCTGGAAACTAGGAAAGAATAGATTTAGAAACATCAATACTTACTTTGGTACATGTTGAGTAGAAAAAAAAATAGCAGTCTTCTCCTTGATTAGGCATGCTGGGTAGATCCTTAGATTAGAAGTGGCCTTTTGAATGCCAGCCACTGCTTCTTCAAGATGAGGACCAGCTCCAAGTCCTCTTGAAACGGGTTTAATCTTCCACAAGAACACTCAAGCACAGAAATCTTCTTTAAAATGCAATCCTAAAATGAAGAGACAAACAAGGAATAGAAGCATTTCATTAAGTTCTTCCAACTTTCTCCTCCAAATCATTCTGAATAATGAGATGGCACTGTTCAAACCAAATCGTAACTACATTAATATGCATTTGCCTATACATAGCTTTGTAAACAATCTGGTTCATATTTTATTATGTGAATACTATACATAACAATATATAATGTAAATTTTTTGTTATGGACTTAGTCATGCATTCTTTCCTTTATTTTCTTTATGGTAGACTAAAATGGTTGTTGTTTGTTGTTAAGTGCCGTCGAGTCGGGTCCGACCCATAGCGACCCTGTACAGGGTTTCCGAGGGTGTAAATCTTTACGGGAGTAGAAAGCCTCATCTTTCTCCCGCGGAGCGGCTGGTAGTTTCGAACCGCTGACCTTAAGGTTCGCAGCCCGATACGTAACCACTACGCTACCAGAGCTCACTAAAATGGTTAGCATAAAATTAAATTAATATTGCTAACTCAACAAATGTTGTACATGTAAATACTTCAATCATTTAATGAGACTTAAATTTTTTGTATAGAATACCTGCTAAATCTACATTTCTCACAAACTATGTTTTTTTTCATCTAAATTATAAAAGTCCTAATATTTTGACAAGCAATTTTTGTTATTTCAAACATGTATTAATCATAATTAGGTGAGAAAAACCCATTTGAGAGGAGTAACTGGAGAAATTATTGCCTCTGAAAATATCTATAAAGCTAGTATTATAATGAAGATGGCTACAGAACCACACCCTTGAAATCTAGATAAGCACAGGAGTCAGAAAAGACAGGCAAGGCAGGAAACAACTGAAATGAAAGAAAAATAAAAATATGAGGGCATTTAAAAGCAGACGCAAAGGACTTGGCTACATATTTCACCAAAAGACCACATAACACATGAGAAGATGCTCAGCATGACTAGCCATCAGAGAGATGCAATCAAAGCCACAGTGTGATGCTATTACACTCCCACTAGGATATTGTAACTAAAAAAGAAAACAGCAAATCACAAATGCAAGACAGGAAGAAGGGAAACTGGAAACCTGACCCACTGCTGATGGGAATAAAAATGATGTAACCATTGTGGAAAACAGTGTGGCGATTCCTCAAAACACTAAAAATAGAACTACCATGTTACCCAGCAATTACACACCTGGGTATATATCCAAAAGATTTATAAGCAGAAACTCACAGACTTCTACACCAATGTTCACTGCAGAACTATTCACAAGAGCTAAAAGGAGAAACAATCTAAATCAGCCTTGAGTATTATGCACTTTCAAAATCTATGTACATGGCATCAAAATAACAACTTGAAAGATTAGATGGGAACCTTAGGGTTCAGTAAGTTTACTTTAATGAGGGAGAAGCAACTCAGAAAGAAGAGTGAAACGGATGCACAACTTTACAATTGTAATCAGAACCACCAGCAAGATGGCTGATCAGGCAGTCGCACTATAAAGAGCCTCTACAACAAAGAGAAAATTCAACAGATACAGATAAAAATTCTGGCAACTTGAACTTCAAAAGAAAGGTTAGAGAGGTGGATGGAGTGTTTTCTGGGAGGAGAGGCCAAGCTGAAAAAATCACTAGAAAGTCTAAAAGTTCTGTGGGACACCATGAAGAGGAATTCCAGAACAAAAAGACACATGTTAAGAGAGAAAACTGTCATGAAGCGGTTGGAAGAAAACTTCCCTACCATCATAAAAAATAAGAAGATAAACACACATGAAGCTGAATGATACCTCAAAAGTGGGAACAAGTCTTTACACCAAGAATCAGGACTTCTGGTGCTTCACTGACTGGGCAGCTAAGGTAGGGCAGTCTCAGGGAAAAGGGGCGGAAGGGCACATAAGAAACCTCTGTCTACCAGACAGACAGCCTTTGAACAAACATAAGAACTTATATTTCAACATTCCGAACTCGTTTTTTTGAAAGATCAAATTGCATTTTGAGCTTTTGCCTGCCTGCACACGGCTCCCGCTTCCGCGCCCGCGAGTACCTCTGCCCCCTGCAGACCTTGGAATGCAGGGCTAAAGCAACCCCACTTAGAAGGCTGCATTTCCAGAGATAATGAAGCATAAACTAACTAAGCCATACAAATAGAGAGGGATATCGGCCCGGATATCAGGAAACTCGGGGTACCCACAGTAGAGAGAGACTGAGAGAGGCATTTTTTACATCATCAAATACGGACACTACCTCACTGCAGCCACAGCCCCCAGCCCTCTACTGCCCCAGCCTAGACCAGCCCTCTGCCAAGCCGCCAAGGCTCAGGAATGCCCAAGGCACAGGCCCGCCCACTGAGGCCAAGGCCCTCCCAAAGCTCAGACACTCCCACTGAGGCCAAGGCCTGCCATGAGGCCCAACCAGCCCACAGACTGGTCACACAGGCCCAGGCCCAACCAAGGCACAAATCGTCCACCTGCCTCACGGCCCAGGCGGTCCACAGCCTGGTCGCCGCCGAGGTCCAGGGCCCCCAAGGCCCAACCCACTGCGTAGCCCGGTCACCAAGGCCCAGTGCCCAATCCACCCAACATGCTCGATGCCCAGCTGCTGATATCCAGACCCCCTGAGGCCCAAACCGCCAGCCTGAGGCCCAAACCACCCGCCC